GTATGTATGTATGTATGTATGTATGTATGTATGTATGTATGTATGTATGTATGTATGTATGTATGTACAGCGAAAGCATGCCGTGGTCGATGGCACAATCGCATTGCACTCTCTCGATTATATATGTTTTTATAACGCATGTAAAGTCTAAGTAAGCATCACCATTCGCGGTTGAAACAGGGGAAGAACGCTAGGCATTCGAGGACTTGAATGGTGAAATGCTCATTTATGGACGAATGAAATGCTGTATTTATATCCTAGTATCGTCAGCAACTTAGAATTCGACAACATTTAAAACTGCCCATAGTTTTCGAAGCCAGAGTAGTGTTTGCAAGTTAGGAAAATATAAATGAACTGGTTTTAGTGTTGATGACCGGAAGCTACGACCAATTCTAATACATCGTTCAATTGTATGCCCAGTAGAGACACTTCTTGCAATTGCTGAATTGAAATGCGGGGGATATTGGCCGTTTTGGATGTCTGCCAATCAGGTGAGCAATTTAGTTCTAGAATAATTGCATACTAGATGTAATATTTGTACTAACTTTAGGTAGTAGTCATTCCAGTCAGTGTCGCATCAATTCCGTATGCACGAACAATCTGGCAACAGCTTGTTCAAGCGGATCTTGAGGTAGTGCTTGCTTGAGCAAGTAAGGATTTCTGAAACTGATAAGAAACCGCTGTTTTTTCCGCTTAAGGCTCATGCTGATCTTAGCTGTGTGGGATCACTCAATAGAAGAATAAAGAACGCTGTAGTCACTAAATGTAATTTTATATTGGTAGTTGGAAAGAATGAGGAACTCAATGGTACCGTTAATGTTCGGACGAGAAATGATATAGTAAGTTTTTCACAGAGTTAAATGTACGAAATGTGCATTGAAAACCTGGACATGTGGTAAAAATGAGTAGATCCGACATGATGCCAAGTTCTCATGCTATAAAATCCATAGTTACCCTTTCCTTAAATTGATTTTTTAAGCTAAAGCAATAATTTTTAGGTACTTGGCGAATTCACCATCGAAGACGTTATATCTCAATTTCAATGTTTTATCAGAGAATTGAGTGATGACACACAATGTGCTGCCGCTTTTGA